GGAGAAAGCTGTCTCTCCAGCCCTCACTCCAATGCCAAACAACTCAGTTCTTCCCCATATGTCTCTGGTGCCTTTCAAGCTGCCTCCCCCATGCTGGAGCCTGGAGGGGGCGAGTCTGAATAAATCTGTGCGCGGGCCCTTTAAGAGGAGCTGCCTGGGGTTCCAGCAGCCTCAGCCTCCCTCAGCCTCAGGTGCCGCTGGTTTTTCCAGCCAGTTATGGGGACTTCTCTTCCTGGCACTGGAACCCTGAGCTGGACGCCTGGTGTGGGACGGGAACTCCTCAGTCCTCAGGGAGGACCCTCACAGCTAAGGTATCCTCCTGATTTTTATCCGCCACACATGGGTGTGGGACCAGCCCATTGCACCTCTGCCCCTGCTACCAGTCTCTATGTGGCTGCTTCTTTAATTTCATAGTTGTAGGACTTCCATTCAGCTTGATTTCAGGTGGTTTTGAATGACGGTTCTGTAGTTTAGTTGTAACTTTGATGTGGTTGTGGGAGGACAGGGTACTGCGTTTACCTACGATGCCATCTTAACCAGAAGTCCAGAGTTAGCATATTTTGAAATGCCTCTTGAATCTTCACTTACCCACTCTCCATTTGGCTCTTAGGGATTAATATAATATTTTACTATCTTAGTATTTTGTCAGTTATACCTCAGTAAAGCTGAAAATAACAATAGTGTTTTACTACTGTCTCTGGGGTTTTCTTTCATGTTGCTGATGTCCGTTCAGCAACTTTTACTGCTGGCATTTTTTATGTTTGCACGTGTGTAGGCAATGAGGATTGTGCCAAGCCTGTCTCCTGGCCACCGGCATTGTAAAATACCATAGACAGGAAGACACTCTGATTTCAGAGATGTAAAAAAATAAATAAATAAGGTGCCTCAGATACATGGACTCTCCACTTATCTTCCTGTGTCCCCCTACAGTCTACAGCCCCCATATTCTCTGGGTCCACAAATGCCTTAAAGAGCCAAGTCAGGGTCATTGAGGGAAAATATATATCTGTGCTTCTTTTTTTCTTTAATCCTCACCCAAGGATATTTTTCTATTTATCTTCAGATAGAGTGGGAGGGAGAGAGAGGCAGAGAAAGGTGGGAGGGAGGGCATCGACATGAGAGGGACACATCCGCTGGTTGCCTCCCACACGACCCTAACCAGGGCCGGGGACTAACCACAACTGAGGTATGTGCCCTTGGCTGGAATCAAACCTGAGACTCACTGGTCCACAGGCTCTCAGGGATTAAAATAATATTTTACTATCTCTACTGCTGAGCCAAACCAGCCAGGGCATATCTGTGCTTCTTTCTTCTTTCATTTGAAACAAAAAAACTCAACTTTTAAAGCATGAAAAACATAGGGAGACGCTGTACAAGGTGAGCTGACCAAAGCAGAAGCAGGGTCTTTTCTGACTTTTGCGGCATTTTCCCAAATTACCAACAGAAAAGTCACCTCCCAGCATTTGCTCAAACCTTGATCTAAAACTACTGCTTCCTCGGCTTCCCGGGCAGTTTCTCAGATGGGTTGTAGTCAGTATAAATTTTTGTTCAGAGTTAGAAAAGTAAAGAATTTTGTTGCAATAAGGGTTAAGAGTATAAGATATGGAATAAGAAATCCTTGAGCTCAGCCAGGAAGGAAGCAAATCAATTACTGAGAAAAACTGTAGATGTCAAAGTCATAAATTACTTATACACACTGGGCTAGAACGGAGCGGGGGAAAAAGACTAAGAAAAATGAGATCTGGTTTTGTGTTTTACAGTGTACAACTGTCCCACACTGAAAATGATTACTAGTTCTAGGCACCATAAAAATAAGAGGTAGTCTTAGCTTTGCAGATTTAAAATTGGAACACCCACACACTGGAAGCAGGGGAACATGGGCATGCTCTCAAGGGCAGTTTCTGGTCACAGAAGATAAGAGGTTAACCAGCAGTCCTACTGGGGAATCCACCAGTTGTGGTAGATGAACAAGTGAAAAGAACAAATAAGTAAAACCTAATGCTATATACTTCTTTTTAGAATTATTTTAAGTTTTCATTATTTCTTAGACTCAAGTAACCAGAAGAGTATGACAGAAATATACAGACATAAAAACCAAAACCAAAACAACAACAAAAAATTGCTACTCAAAATTGGAAAGGCAGGGAATGCTATCCTAAAAGATGAATAACAAGCTAAATGTTTGTTTGGAATAATTAAAAAAAAAACAAAAAACACTTTTATTTCCACGTTTGGAAAGGAAACATATGCACATGGAAGGTAGCATACCTCAATACTGACCTCTGATTCAGTCACCCCTCCTCAGAAGCATTATAATCTCAAATAAGAATAAAAATGGGCAACATGCCATAATTAGTAAGGAGCTATTGAAAGAAATTTGTCTCCTACTCCAGTTCTGTTTTTAAAATCAATTTAAAATTTCTGATCATTTAAAGAATGAGAGTTCAATAATGCTTGTTACAAAACCCAGCAGAGCCCTGGCCGGTTTGGCTCAGCGGTTAGAGTGTCGGCCTGCGGTCTGGAGAGACCTGGGTCTGGTTCCCACTAAGGGCATGTACCTCTGTTGCAGTTTGTCCCCGGCCAGGGGTTGGTTGTGCAGGTGGCAGCCACTCTATGTGTCCCTTTCACATCGATGTTTCTCTCTCTCTCTCTCTCTTCTTCTCTCTCCCTCCTGCTCTATTTGAACAAAAAAATGGAAGGGTGTCCTCGGGTGAGGATTAAAAAAAAAAAAAAAAGAATAAAAGTCTCAAAACCCAGCAGACTTCCACCCCCACGGCAAATGTTTTTAACTCATTTCAGGCATTCTCTGTTGACTTCCCACCAGAAGAGATAAAGATTTAGCTTGGCCATTGTGGCTCAGTGGATGAGCATCAACCAGCCCATGCACCAAGAGGTCGCTGGTTCATTCCTGGTCAGGGCACATGCCCAGATTGTGGGCCAAATCCCCAGTTGGGGGCATGCAGAAGGCAGCCAATCTATGTTTTCTCTCATCGGTGTTTCTGTCTCTCTCTCCCTCTCCCTTCCTCTCTCTCTCAAATAACATAAAGAAAGAATTAAAAAAAAAAGAGATAGCCCTGGCCGGTTTGGCTCAGTGGTTGGAGAGTCAGCCTGCGGACCAGAGAGTCCTGGGATTGGTTCCTGCTAGGGGCACGTACCAAAAAAAAAAAAGAGATAGCCCTGGCCAGTTTGGCTCAGCAGTTAGAGCGTCAGCCCACAGACCAGAGAGTCCTGGGTTCTGTTCCCGCTGAGGGCCTGTACCTCAGTTGCAGTTTGACCCTGGCCCCTGTTGGGGTCGTGTGGGTGGCAATCAGTTGATGTGTTTCTCACGTGGATGTTTCTCTCTCTTCCTCCCACTCTCTCTCCCACTCTGTCTGAAGATAAATGCAAAAAAAATGTCCTCAGGTGAGGATAAAAAAAAAGAGAGAGAGAGATAAAGATTTAATTTTCTTCCACTCACCCTCTAGCACCACCATGCGCGCGCGCGTGCACACACATACACACACACACACACACACCCTTCCCATTTTACCAGTAGAATTACTCACATTTGACTATGTAAATTATATTCACAACTCTGATTACCTTTCACATTCTTTCCTTACTTTTTATTTTTCTGGACTTAATAAGTATCTTATTTGCTTGCTTAGTTTTCTATTATACTATTTCAACAAACAGCTTCTATTGAAATTTCTTACAATTTGATGTTTATTCAGAATCTTGTTCACTGCAATGTTCTACTAGAGGAAACAAATAAAATATCCACTAACAGGGAACTGGTTAAATCCTTTGCAGTTGTTTCATATCATGAAATACCTTGTAGATCTTAAAAAGAACAAGGTTGGTTAACAAGTATTGATACATGTACCGAACTGAGCCTTTAATTTTGTCATTATATATACCAGTAACTCTGAATTATATATATATTTGTTAATCCTCACCCAAGGATATTTTTCCATTGATTTGGAAGGGAGGGAGAGGGAGAGGGAGGGACAGAAACATCGATGTGAGAGAGACACAACAGGATTGGTTGCCTCCCCCACCGGGGATTGAACCTGCAACCCAGGTACATGCCCTTGATGGGGAATCAAACCTGTGACCCTTGGGTATGCAGACCCACGCTCTAACCACTGAGCCCAACCGGAAAGGGCTGAATCATATTTTGTTTGTTGTTATTCATATGCCTAATCAGATTTAACTTTTTTTCCATTTTATTTAGTTGCTGGAAAAAATCTGAATTGTTTTTCAGCAACACAAGTTTGGCTTACAGGCCAATCATCTCAGAGATGTTTACACAGATTCAACTTTGGAAGAAGGAAACCAGAATTTTCATACTTCTAAAGGAAAATCTTTTCACAAAATGAATGGAAAGGGAGTGCCTGTAAAGGCAGCACTCACCTGAACCAAATACTAAATTACTGGACAGCTGCAGGACCGAGCAGCATGGATGAGACAAGCCCAGGGAGGCGGGAGGGCCATTCCGGGGAGGTTGCTTAGCCAATCAGGGCCTTGGCTTCCCAGTGTCAAGTCCGTCTAAAAATGCCTGCTCTTTCCACTCCTAGTATTCGGATGCACACTTGCAGCGCCACTAAGGGGTTGTAACAAGCACACCGCTCGTCTTTCACGAATCATAAAGGCACTTTCACGACCACCTTTCCATCAGGCCAGGCCCACGGAAATGGCGTGGGCTAGAAACAGGCAGCCGCAGGCCTCCGGACGCTGTCAGGAAGCACGCTGCCAGCAGGGGCTAACTTTCTTGGGGTTGTGGACAGCTTGGGGAAGTCGAATGGAACAAGAGATGTACTCCCCAGGAAGTTAAATATATGTTCAGGCCACTGAACCTGTGTACACAATGTACCGTGGGCTCGAGAACCCTCAAGACCTAAGCTGGGCTCCCCCGAGGCCGGGCCGCCCTCCCCCTGCCCCCTGCCCCCTGCCCCTCCCCCTATTCCTGCCCCTGCCCAGTCCGGGTGGGCAGCTAGGCCCCGGCAGGAACCACGCACCGAAACGAGCGGGATGCGCAGGTGATCTCCCTGCAGCCGGTTGAAGGCGGGAAACGTGCTCCAGGCGAGGAACCCGCCATGCTTGGGTCCCAGCAGGGCCAGGAGCAGTACCTGGTGCTGGAAGCGCACGGTCGGCTGCTCTTCGTAGCTGCTTCGCTTCAGCCAAAAACCTGAGGTGAAAAGGGCGGGAAGGCGGTGGGGAGGCTGTCAGGAAGGCGGGCGCGGAGGGAGCGGGCCCGCGGGAGCCGTGGTGCGCACCGACCAGGGGAAGGCTCACCGTGGCTCCGGAAGGCCACCAGCAGCGGCGGGATGTACGTGAGCGCGGTGGCCAGCAGCAGGAACAGCGCGGCCTTGGAGCAGAGCCGCGCGCGGTACCCGCGCTCGACTGGTTGAGAAAAGAACTCGTAGAGCGCCATGAGCGCAGCGCGGAGGGCGGCCGTACACCCCAGACCCCTTGGCGATAGGGGAGAGACGAGCAAGTTTGGCTTCCCCTGGTTGCCATAACCTTGGTCTCCACGGCAACCGACAGCGCAATGAAAGGAACCAATAGCAAGGACGCGGGGCCTTTGGTAGGGGTGGAGCTAACTAGGGGCGGTACCCACTGCGACGGTAGACCTCCCCTTAGCGTTTTGTGCGTTTTCCCAAAGGCTGAGTGGAAATACGGTGTTTCTCTGCACCAAAATCGCAGCTGTCGTGTTAATATTTGTGTAAAGTAACATTGTTCATAAAATTGACTCAAAGTAAATATTTATGTGTATTTCATTAAGTATGAATTAATGGTTCTTAAGTCCAACCAGTGCCAGCACACCCTACATTGAAGGAAAGCACACAACATAAATGTGTCCGTGGTCTTGGACCTAAGACCAAACTCAGGTCCCTTTGTCTCCCAAATTTCCTGTTGCTTTCACTATACTCCATAGCAGCATAGACATGGAAAAAGGACGCAAATCTGGTTCTTCGTGGGATAAAGAATAATTACTACATAGTTCTCTGTGTTATACTTATTGTTGCCTTGTATTGGGTACAAGTTCGTCTACTGGTTTTAGGGGAAGCTGTGATCCTCCTCAAAGATAACATTAGCTCATCACTGAATTGAATGCTCCCACCCCCTGCCCCAAACCAGTATTTCGAATGTACTTCATTTTCTCTTTTTTAAAAAAACCATGGTTCACATCCAAGTTCATCAGAAGGCCTTGAAGGATCGCGTTACAGTGCCAAGACAGAGTGTGAGGTTTGTGCTCATAGTGGAGTCCAGTAGTTGATGCCCTTATTTTGAAGGCAACCTAGAAGTGGCTTTTAGATGAAGAGAACAGTAGAGATCCTAACACAGACAAACAGAGAGAGGTCAAGACCTGCTCATCTGGAAAAACTATCCAGGGTCCTTACCATAGTCCAAGATGACAATGTCATCAGTCAAAAGATGCTTTTTACATTTGGTCCAGTACTACTCATTCGTGCTTTAAGGCTTTTCTGAGGGTAGCCACCAACTCTTAAATACAGTAATTGTATTTCTTTTTTTTTTCTATCCTCACCCAAGGACATTTTTGCATTTATCTTCAGAGAGAGCAGGAGGAAGAGAGGGGGGAAGAGAGAGAGAGAAACATCGATATGAAAGAGACACATAGACTGGTTGCCACCCACACAACCCTAACTGGGGCTGGGGACAAACTGAAACCAAGGTACATGCTCCTAGTGGGAACTGAACCCAGAATTCTCTGGTCTGCTGGCTGATGCTCTAACTGCTGAGCCAAACCATCCAGGGCGAATAGTTGTATTTCTTAAAGCTTGTGTTATGATTCTGACATTACATTGTATCTATGCTTTTAGCAGATGACTTTCACTTATTTAGATAACCATTAAAATAAGATTCTAAAATAGATGTTTCCAGCCCTAGCCAGTTTGGCTCAGCGGTTAGAGCGTTGGCCTGTGGTCTGGAGAGACCCGGGTTCAGTTCCCGCTAAGGGCACGTACCTCGGTTGCAGTTTGTCCCCGGCCCTGGTTGGGTCGTGCAGTTGGCAGCCACTCGATGTGTCCCTTTCACATTGATGTTTCTCTCTCTCTCTCCTCTCTCTCTCTCTCTCTCTCTCTCTCTCTCTCTCTCTCTCTCTCTCTCTCTCTCTCTCTCTCTCCCCCTCCTATTCTACCTGAACAAAAAATGGAAAAAAATGTCCTTGGGTGAGGATTAAAAAAAAAAAAAAGGAGTAATGTACAGGGAATCAATAGTAGAGTAGGTGAAGCCTAGAAGGAAACCATCGATTTGGAATACAAGGAAGCAAAAAACACCCAATCAGAACAAAGAATAATAATAAAAAAAAAATGAGGATAGTGTAAGGAGCCTCTGGAACAACTTCAAGTGTATCAACATTTGCATCATGGGGGGTGCCAGAAGGAGAAGAGAGAGAGCAAGAAATTGAAAACCTATCTCTAAAAACAATGGCAGAAAGCTTCCCTAACTTGGTGAAGGAAACAGACATACAAGTCCAGAAAGCACAGAGTCTCAAACAAGATGAACCCCAAGAGGCTCACACCAAGACACATCATCATTAAAATGCAAAAGTTTCAAGACAAAGAGAGAATCTTAAAAGCAGCAAGAGAAAAGCAGTTAGTTACCTACTACAGAGCTCCCATAAGACTGTCAACTGATTTCTCAAAAGAAACTTTGCAGACCAGAAGGGAGTGGCAAGAAATATTCAAAGTGATGAAAAGCAAGGACCTACAACCAAGATTACTGCAAAGCTATCATTTAGAATTGATGGCCATATAAAGAGTTTCTCAAACAAGGAAAATCTAAAGGAGCTCATCACCACCAAACCAGTTTTATATGAAATGTTGATGGGAGAGGAGGGGGAGGGGGAGGAGGAAGGGGAGGAAATGTGAAAAATAAAATGGTAATAAATACATATATATCAACAATTGAATCTACAAACAAAATGAGCAAGAACAGAAACAGACGCATAGATACAGAGAACTTTTTATTGGTTGCCAGATTGGGGGGGAGGGTTGGGTGAAAAAGATGAAGGGATTAAGAAGTACAAATTGGTTGTTAGACTAATGAACCTCAAAGGGAAGGTGGGAGGAAGGGCAGGAAGAGAAAAACCAAAGAACTTATATGCATATATGCATAACCAATAGACACAGACAATAGTGTGGGGAAAGCAGGAGGGGGATAGGAGTAGGGAGGAGGGGATCAAGGGGGGGAAAAGGAGGGACATCTGTAATACATTCAACAATAAAGATAAGTTTAAAAAGGACAAAAAGAAAAAAGAAGCTAGCCTGATCACTTAAAAAGGAAAGTTATATCACATCACATCTCTGCTTAGCATGGAATTTAAAGGTCAAAACTGTTTGTTCTAGATCTCTTTTATCTCATCTCCTAACACACTTGCCCTGGTTTATTCAGCTCCAGCCAAAAGTTTCCTTCGTGCTCCTAGATTTGCCAACCACTTTATCTAATTAGCATTCTATCACACCATCACTCTATAGTCACCAACCCTGTTTTATTTTTCTAAACACATTTATCATTATCTGACATTTATTTTTTTGCCTTGTTTCATTAGAATATAAACTCCATGAGAGCAGAGTTGTCCTGTTCATTGTTTTTTTCCAACACCTAGAACAGTGTTCCTATATACAACAACAATACTTTTTGGTATAAAATTAAAAGAATTTTTTACTTCATTAAAAACAAGCAGGTAGCTCTGGTCGTTTTGGCTCAGAGGTTAGAGCGTTGGCCAGCAGACCAAAGAGTTGCGGGTTTGATTCTGGTCAGGGGCATGTACCTCAGTTGTGGTTCAGTTCCCAGTCCTGCTTGGGGTTGTGCAGGAGGCAACCAACTGATGTGTCTCCCTCACATCGATGTTTCTCTCTTTCCCACTCTATCTGAAGATAAATGGAAAAATATCCTCTGGTGAGGATTTAAAATAAAAAACAAAAACAAGCAAGCAAACAAAAAACTTTTGGTTGCTCAGACATACAATTTTAAAATAACAAAAATAATTTTAGAATGAAGTTAGATTCCACAGCAATCGTCAGGAATTTCAACTGTAAGGAGTGATGAATGGACAATGTTTAAACATACAGGCCTTTCAGATGTATCATAATCACAGGCATGTGGCAAGGATCATGTGCCCAATTAAGCGAATATTCTTGTTACCTATTCACCAGCTCATAAATAATATATGATGGATGATCTAGAGCAGACTGCCCTGATGACTTTGCTGGGAAGAAAGGAATGACATCACTGGAGATCCTGAAGGCTCAGGCAGATGACACATAGAGCTTATGCTGTGATTGCTGAATCTCAAGCTGACTGCCAAAGAAGCCCATCTCATGCTCATTTATCAGGGGAATTCTCGGAGTCTGACAGTCACCTCTAGTTCCTCTGCCTGTTAAGGTTAAGGGGTCTCTTTGTGATCAGTGAGATGTTACAGCCCTCTAATACATATCATATTGATAACTTTTCTTAAAAATTTATTCAAATACTTAATAAAGTATGTGAATACTTAATAAAGGGAAATGGATTTGTTTAAATTCAATTTCCAGGCAACTTATGGCTGTCTTTAATACTGAACCTCTGGGTTGTCTTCAGCATTCCTCCCCACAGTCCCGCATGGATCCCCCAACCTGTTACTCCTCACAATACTCCTCACGCTGTCAACGCCCTAAACAGAATCCCCCTCCCGCCATCACTAACCACCAGACTCCTCTTCTGTTATCCATACCTCCAAAATCCCCCTTGTCACTACGCCCCAGACCATCATCAACTCCACTCCCAGGTTTACTTTCCGTGGCGCCCGGCCCCGCCCCTTTGCGTGCGGCCCCGCCCCATTGCGCGGCGTCCAGGCCAGCGGCGCCGGAAGCCCCGCCCCGGCCGGTTGCTAGGCTCCGGCAGCCGGAAGTCCCGCCTGTCGTGTGGTCACCGCCGCCGCCGCTGCTGTCGTTGTTGTTGTGGTTGGTGCTCTGAGCTCCGCGGCTCCGAGAGCCGGCTACGTCCCTTTCCCGCCGTCGCCATGAAGTGGATGTTTAAGGAGGACCACTCGCTGGGTAAGCGTCCGGACATTGGCCGGGCCGTTGGGCCGGCGCGGCTGGTGGGACCCCTCCCCCACTCGGGCCGCCCTGGGTTGGGCCGAGCAGAGCGGTTGCCGCTCCTTGGGTTCGCGTCTCCAAGGCCCCGGTCCCCCGACCGGCTCCCCACGGACTCCGTGCCGCCTTCCGGAGGCCCTCCCCGGAGCCAGGAAACTGAGGACCGAGGCCGCCGGGACGCTCGAACGAGGGCCGGGGCGTGCGTAGGTCGCGGGGGAGGAGGGCTGGGGCCCAGGGAACCCGCCCACCGGCAGGAGCGACAGTCAGTTTGGTGTGTTTCTCCCACAGAACACAGATGCGTGGAATCCGCGAAGATCCGAGCGAAATATCCTGACCGGGTTCCGGTAAGTGGAC